AAAACACTGCTATGTGCAAAGCAGCTATGGAAAAACTGTAATGGAGGGAGAAAATTCCTATCTTAGATCCTCATTAAATTCACGGGCAGAAGAAAGAGAAGTCATTTATAGTCAGGGAAAAGAAACTTTAGAATTCTTCCAAAGAGAAGGCATTGCTAAGTTCAAATCAAGACACTGGTGTTTCTCTAGGGTGTCACAGGTCCAGCAAACTGGATCCCCAGATTTACTTACCTGAAATAGCAGAGTACAGATATGTTCCAGATCAAGCTAGCTCTACTCTGCTTTCATTTAGTCAATGATTCGTAAATTGTCACAGATATTACATGAACCGTTGCATGGTTAATTTTAACAACTCCCCTCCTGCATATAAATCAGTATAACTCCACTGTCCACAACAGGCTAAGGCAAAATAAAGGGATACATTCCTCAGTGTAAGAAGAGGGAGTAGAAAATCCAAAGGGATAATTGAATGTATCATTAGCAAGCTGGGTGATGATACTAAACTGGGAAGTATTTCCCCTTGCAGAGAGTTATAGATAGGTTGGAGCTTTGACCAATGATTAATGGGATCAAATTTAACAAGATCAAATGTCATATTCTGCATCTGGGATGCAGTAACACTGGGCATAAATATATGGGCATAAATATAAACTGGGAGACCAGTGACTGGAGATCAGCTCTGCAGAAATGAATCTGGGCAGCAGCTCAACAGGAGCCAGTAGTGTGCCCTGGCAGCCCAGAGGGTAAACCCCATCCTGGGGTACATCAAACACAGTACGACCAACTGGACAAAAGAGAGGATTATTCCACTGTGTTCGGTGTTGGTGTGGCCTCACCTGGAGCCCTCTGTGCAGTGCTGGGACCCACCTGTTAAGAAGGATGTGACTGCCCTTGAATGCATCCCAAGGAGCACAACAAAGCTGGTCATAGGGCTGGAAGGCACATCCTGTGAGGAGTGGCTGAAGGTTCTGGACTTGTCTAGTTTGGACAAGAGGAGGCTGAGGGGCAATCTCATTGCTCTCCACAGCTCCCTGAGGAGGGGAAGGGAAGAGAGAGGTACTGAGTGTTCCTCACTGGGCTCTAGTGATCTTTACCAAGAGGGTGGTTAAACAGTGCAACAGGGCTTCTAGAGAGGTGCTTGACACCCCAAGCCTCTCAGGGTTTAAGAGGCATTTTGACAATGTCCTTAATAACATGCTTTAACTTCTGGTCATCCCTGAAGTGGTCAGGTAGTTGGACTAGGTGGTCATTGTAACTCCCTTCCAACTGAAATTATTCTAGTCTAGTCTAGTCTAGTCTAGTCTCTCACTTCCATTCTCCAACCTCATTTTGCCTTTGAATTCTTCCATTCTGTAACTCTCTCTTACCATTACAAGCAGTTCGCCTTGCTCCACAGGACCAAGATTTTTAGTCTACAGTCTCAGATACAAGTACATACTCTACCTTCCACGGTTTCTGTTTTATCAAATGGGTGTTGGATGTATAAACTTTCAGGTACCAGAAAGCCATGTTTTCCTTTTCTCAGCTGAACCTGACTACTATTCCATCCCCTACCCTTGACAAATTGTCTGTTGCTTCAAATATTTTCCATGCATATCTGAGTAATCAATCTCAAAAAGAGATGTGAAAAGTAGTTCTGCTTCCTCTGATTCTCCCAAATATACAACACCCTGGTGCTGAAGGCAAGCTCAGTGTGCTGGTTGTACACCCACATGCCTGAGTACCAAAAGTCTCATGTTTCTAGCAGCAATTTATTATTTATCAAATTAATCAAATAAATTAGAAGTTGTTAGAGGCTTGTTCTACTTTATACCATAAATACCTGTCCTCCTTACCAGGTGGACTGGCACAACCTCGCTGTCTAAAACACACTGTTCCAATCTTTTGGGAGTTTCCAAATACCCCAAACAAGCATCCTTGTGGGAAAGGGAAGAAACATGCAACAGGAAAAGCAAATAGAGAACAGCTAGGCTAAACTTGGCTCATTTAAGTAGTACTTGATATACACTTCCCTTTTGTGTACCAAATGGTAAAAAATATGTATGTCTAATTTCCCTATTTACAAATCTATAAAGCAGGAAGGTTGCCTGCTCATGTTCCTGAAAGGAAGAGGTGAAAGAAAAAGCAATAGTGAAAACTAGGCAAATTATTTTATTAAAACATCAAGGAAAAGAATCTCCAAGGATATTTTATTTGCAGTCTGTCAGCTTACCACCCCAGGAACTTCACAGGTTTCCTCTGATGTCCTGTTATGATCTACATGAAGTTCAAGCAGTGATGCATCAACATACAGGATAAACCAACAGGAAGGCAGGTTTTAAACTTTCTGAACAGCTTCAATCTAGCCCCAGTCTGCCTGCTAATCCATGTAGACACCTTCAGTAGCAAAGAATGCGTTTCCCAAGCATAGGACAGAGTATAATAATCAATTCCCAGTTTGTGGGAGAAGGAGCTTGGTAGGTTTGTGAATTTATCTGCATGGGATGGAGAGGATTTCTAGTGAGGTGGTGCTTTCATCTTAAGAACTAATTGTGGAAATATTAAACATCAAGGAAGTCTATAGCACATTTAGTTTGGAAGGTGGTAAGATCTGAAGCGATCTCAGTTGGAAGTGAGTTTCTAGAATTTTTTGTGTATGAAATCCTGTGTTGCTTTTCCAAGGTTGGATGGCCTTGTGTTATTTCAGTGATGGCATTTTGTGGCAAGTCAGGGCCCCATAGGGAAGTCAAATGCTATGACCACCAATTTCAGTCTCCAGGGTTATTTTAACCAGGGAACAGAGACTTGTTCTGTATTTTGTAGGAACCAAAGCAAAGGGCAGAGCACACTCATCAGTCCTTTTTGTTAAACAGAAGGTTTAAAGAATTTTGAGCCAGTCACTTCTAGTTATATGGAGCACATCCCTTGCATCTGAAATAAAACAAACACTGTTCTCAAACCATGAACTGCAGCTCTGCTTCTAGTGCACAGTAATCCCAAGGTGATGAAGTAATAAATTTCTGCTATTACAACACACAACTAAAGTTGTGCATAGGGTAACTATTGGTAGCTGAGGTCATACACAATTGTCATACACAATAAGGCCCTGATGATCACACCAGGAGGAACATTGTCCCGGGCTCACCTTGCCAGGGCAATGTCTCCATCTGCCCTCCTTGCTCTGTAGTGACTGACAGGGGCTGTGCCTGCAGTCTGGCCATCTACATACATATTGAGTTGTCTTCCCCTTGCAAGTTTGTACCAGGCTCCATCAAAAACCTTTCCCATGTTCTCAAAGATGGCACTCTCACTGCCAGACCCTTCTCCAGCTTTATTATAGATATCAATTGCCTTGCTCTCCCCATAGAGATGTATCATGAACTGATCAGCCCCATCTCTATCCTCTATCTCCTAGAGGTTCCATGTCATCTTTGAAGTATTCTCTTTCATTCTGAAAGGTGGGTACAGTGGAATATTCCTCAGGAAGAACAAATCCTGAAACAAGCTACGAGACAGTTTTAGAAGTATTTCTTTTTAGTTGTCATTGCAACATTATGAAGCCCCCTAGAAATATATTTTTTTCCATTAATGATGGATCGTATGGGGAATTATGGTTGTCAGTAGAAAGGCAATAAATATATTGTAACACCTCTGAGGAAGGAGAAATATCCAGGCAGATGAGTAAAATAAAATATCATAATTCTCATATTATCATATTTTAGATCTGAGTTATAATGAACTAGACCTGCAGGTTCTGCTAAACCCAGTGGAGACGTATTAATTTTCAACAGATATGGATACAGTGTGTGTTTTGTAGTATATAGTTTGGCAGTAAGTTATGCTTGGGCCACTCTCTACAAGAAAGACATTGAGGTGCTGTAGTGTGTCCAAAGAAGAGCAATGGAGCTGGAGAAGGGTCTGGAGCAACAAATCTGATGAAGAGCGACTGAGGAAGCTGCAGGTGTTTGGCCTGGAGAAAAGGCGGTTCTGTCACATGCTGGCTTCACTTCTGCTATTGCCTACCAACCGTGGTTATTGTACACTTTCACCCTAATCTGCTGGCCTTTCAATAATTGCATTCACTGTCCGGCTACTTGGAGTAGGAGGTAGGTTTAACACTGGGACACCCCATTGCAGCACATGTGGTCAGCACAGCTGCAGTGTCAGCCACAGTGCCCATCAGGACAGCGGCACGACAGGACGGGAGCACAGAGCTGATGAAGATCTTCTGAGCACAGCCCAAGGCGTTCGCTGTTGCCTTGTGGATCTTCTGACAACACTCCAAGACTTTTTCTGTCGCCCTGTAGTGTTGAGTTATTTCCCCAAAGCTTCCTGCTTCCCACTTCCCTACTTCTAGCCATTTTCTATCAGGATGGAGAATAGACCTCCCTCCCAGCAAGCTCAGGGTGGCCTGGGAGGAGGCGGGTGCTGCCCAGGAAAGCAGCTCTCCATAAGAGCCTCATGAGGTGCCCTGGATGAAGGACAGGGTTCCTGAGGAAAGCAGTTCTCCAGCAGAACTCCCCCAGGGGATCCTGGCAAAACCATCACAAACACAGATGGGTGAGTGACGGACCCCATTGGACTGGGCAGCACTGAGTGCTGGTAGGAGGGACTGCTGCAGCCAGAGGGGGGGAGTTCTGTGACTTGTACTCTCTCCAACTGGGGAAGGACAGGAGCAGGGCTGAGGAGTACCTGCGTCAGTGCCTGTTGTACCCCAAGGACCCTGAGACCACTGTGCGAGAGGTGACCATCAGGTTCGTCAGTGAGCCCCAGCCCCCACAGTCCCTCTTTGGGCAACCTGGTCCCCATCCCTGCTCCTGCACCAACATCGTGGCGCAGCCCTTGGGCTACCCAAGCCCCAGCTGCCACATGCTGGGCTTCAACCTCCCTCCGCCACCCCTGCCCATGCAGCTGGGCTTGGTGGTCACCTTGCTCAGTTCTACCCCCCTGAGCTACTGGTGGTTCCTGGGGTCATCCCTACTGAGGGGGAGGAAGGTAGGGCCAAGGGCCCTGCTGGGGAGCAGGGGCTGATGGAGCTTTGTCCCTAGGGGTGCCCATGTGGCACCTGCAGGACTAAAGCACAGAGAAACTGGATGAGATCTGCAGTGGTGAGTGGGGAACATGGGCTGCAGGGGATGTCTGGGGGTCTCTGCAGACATGGGGGTTCATCTCAGCTCTGTTTCTTTTGGTCACAACCCTTCAGCCCTTGCAGACTGTGGGCAACAATTTCATCTCTTACCTGGCAACTCAGGCCATCTTGATCCTGACAGCTTTAAATCTACAGTAAAACCCAAGATTTAATCTACAGGTACTGCTCTTTTGGTGCTACTGAGCCAGTTGGAGGATGGCTGTGATTTATTAATGCTGGAACAATAGGCCCAAATCCATTATGTCCTTCAGATGTGCAGACTGTGTCCTGCTTGGCCTTACTGCTACCTGCAGGACAACTTTCCCCTCAGCACACCCACAGCCCCAGGCTGTTTGAAAAGTTGACTCTTTACTGAGGCTTTACCCAGCAGAAACCTCATTTGTGGCTCCTAAGGGCAGACCCCCACCATGCAGCGAGGATAAGGCACAGAAACTGTGGGCCCCGCTCTGCCTTCCCATGGGTGTACAGGCATCCAACGAGGCATCTACTGTTACTGCATCACCACCTCCCCTCACCGTAATGGGTTTGGAAGTGTTTCCAAGCAGAGTACTGTGGTGTTAAGGAGACCAGAGGGAAACCTCAGGGGTCCTAGAGGGACTGGAGGACAAACAAGGAGTCTCGGTTGCTGCCACCATGGCAGAGGATGGGCCTCCACTGCCATGTTGCTGCTGACAGAGGCAGCTGTCCCTACCCACAGGTCAGGGGCATGATGTTCCTTATAAATCCTTGTCAGGCTGAACAAAGACACTGGACACGTGTCTGGGAACTCTTATGTTTTACTATACAATTGCCATAAGTCTGGCAACCAGCCCACTATTTAGACTGAAAAGATGCTGGCTAACAAGCCCTTAATTTCATACAGTACATGTCTCTAAGTTCTCAGCTCCCAAAACAAACTCTTCAAAGGTGCTGGCACACAGGCCACTACACACAATCAAAGGTGCTGGCTAACAAACCACAACACACCAATATTCAGTTGTTCCCCCCAGAGAGGGAAGCCTTTTCACCACCTCATTTGTAATATCTGGAACATGCAGGGCTTGGGTGTGTGTCAAAGGGAAGTACTAGACTTAGGCATTTACCTGAATTGCAATTATTCTTTAAATCAGACTTGAAAACCACTTACAAAAAGTGTAATAGTTCAGTAAACTACTGTGAGATTTAAAAAAAAAAACAAAAAACAAAAACATAAAATCTCAGAGGCTGGAGAATTTCTGAAATTGAATAAGTTTCGGAAAAAAAGAAACATTGCCTCTCATCCATTCCTTTATTGTTTTAACAATGTGTCTAATAATAAAGTTTTGAGGTTTGGTTTCTTTTTTTGGGTTTTTTTGGGGTTTTTTTCTAGGTAAGCTTGAAAATATACAAAAACATGTTAGCATAATTTTCCTCATGAATTATCTTTGTGTTTGCCTATCTACTTTTTGGTCATTTTCTAAAAATAATGTCCCTAACACTCCTTAAATTGTAGTTGAAAGTGAAAGTTGAAAGTGGTTGCAGTCGTCAAGCTACCACAAAAAAAGGGGACACAGGTGTCACATTCCCTTTTACACACCGAGGATGCTAGTATGGAGATTACTTAACCTCAAAAGAGGGCTTCAGTGACTTCAGGTACTGAGTGGTGAGTCCCGAGTCATGGGAATGTGCAATGGGACATTGTCCTTGCTATTTGCTGGTCATAACTCTGAGCAGCTCTGCATCTACACTTCTAGACATTCATTTCTGTCTTCCAGAGGCAATTGTTTCTCTCCATTGACTGTCTAAAGAACCTAAGCATCTGTCTGAGGTGCTCTGGTTGATTGTGTTGGGATTAGTCATCTATGTTTTAGGTGATGTGGTTCTTGATTTCAAAATGAGAAACGGCAGTGTTGTTATAAGTATTTCAACACAGAATTCTGTGTACAAAGGACATGTGTAATAAAAGAGAAGGCCCGTATTCAGAATTAAAACACTCCATGCTAATCTGTTTCACAGATCTAATCCCTTTCTCTTGGAAGTATGTGGAACATTATTATTCTTCAAAATTAAAAATACGTCAGTGAATAAATTTGAACTCACTAAAAACTATTCTTAAATAATCTGTAAACAAAACCAATTCATATAATAAATATTATGACAATGGGCTTTTTAAAAAACCTCATTAAGCGGTTGCACTTGGTGAGTTAATCATTTCCTTGCTCAAAAATAGCAAAACACTACTATGCATCATACAGGAAATCTATTTCTCTTGCAGCAACCTGACATGAATGTCTATATTGTTTGGTTCATGATAAATTTTCTCAGCGTTACGATTGAGGAAATATTTAGATTTTTATTTAATTTTTGTTTTGAAAATTTCTGACAATTTTGTTTTGAATCACCATAAAAATTCATAAAAAATAACTTTGTAAAACAAATTCGGTTCATGCCAAATGAACTCAATGCGGAAACAGTTGTTTCACCACAGTCTGAAAATTCTTGCTATTAATAATTTTATTATTATCAAAATTTTGTTTAAATTAAATAGGCAAAGCACTTCCATTCCGAAAATTGAATGGTTTATATTCAGTTCACAGATTTTATTTTGGAATTTTAAACCCAAACAGTTCCATAAAAGCTATACACATTTTTCCAGTGTTTCAACAATCCAGTACTCCAGTTTTAATGGCAAAATTTTGCCCTGTTTATTTTAACTGAGCTTTATTTAAGCTGTAACGCAGTACTCCCGCACTAAGAATTGAGGTAGGCACTAAGATTGACGGTAAGGTGATGATAAAGACAAAAAAACAGATATATGTACTTGATTGTTTCAGGTTGTCAATCAGATTACTCGGCATCACGCCATTATTCCACATCATGTACCAGAGATGTTAAAGATCACACTGAGTCTATTCTGGCATTCATAAAACTGATATGCTGCAAAGAGCCAACATAGTATGGATTTATAAATGAGTATCTTTCAGGCACTACAGCTAACAAATATGTTCAATATTTATCAAATCTGTAAAATATTCACCTGGAATTCATTGAAAGTCAAACACAAAACTCAACTTCTATTCTCTAAACAAACATAACTATTCAGACTACACTGAAATTATAGCCAGTTTGGTATCTTACAGAAAAACCGGGTTTTTTTTAAAAAAACATCAACATCTTTGATCAGTTTGTAAACTCAGAATTGTTTCACTAGTCTTTGTTTGGCCAATACATGAGAGGAAAAATGTGGAACATTTAAAAAAGGATCGAAATGCCTGACTTATCTAGGAATCTACCATACAAAATATAGCTAAACTTAAAAGATTTTCTCTCAAAGAAGCTATTTTCCCACTGGTTTGAAGGTGAATTGTAAGTTTAAGCTTCCAAAATTCTCTTTTTCTCCTTTAGTAGAAACTAAACCATTAGTAGCTCTTTGGCTATACATGTCTAATGTTGACCACTACCTTGATGACTCTGAGGAGATGCAGATATGATGCTACAGAAGTAATTCATGTTGTGATGAAAGAGAGTGATGACAGAGACTGGTTTAAGAAAGAAGCTGTTTAGACAAAGAATGAAATTCTAACCAGGAATTTCTGGTAGAGAGAAAACTTGTGTCCAATGAAGTCTTTGTAAATTCACTGTAAGAGTAACTGATACTGAACAAATTAAAAAAAAAAATAGTGGACATTTTTTAGCAGTACTGGTGATGAACAAATATATACCTTAACAAGGAGGTAATGATTTCTTCTTAACTCAAAGTTTTCAAATAAAGGTCTTCCTTTCTGCAAGACTTACTTTTATCAAGAGATGTTAAGGAAATCAAATACTACAAGGAAATCAGACTACTAGATCAATAGTTTTATCTCCTGATAGACTCTTAAGAAGTCAATGGCCAGATTTTCAGTAACATTACATGTGGAAAAATTTTACATTATTTGTGTTATTTGGTTTAAAACTGAAGTTTCACCAGACACAAACCTCTTTAATACACACATTTTATAAACTTTTTCCCCAAAGACAGAATACTCCTTGGTCTCACTTGAGGCCTTGTAGGAATCTTGTACTGGGAACAATTTCTTTGCTAGAGTGAGTGCATAAAAACCCCACTGCAGATCTATAGTCTACTATGTGGGAACCCCAAAACATATGTACAGCTTGAAAAACCCTAAATGGGATTTTCATGATCTTATCATTCTCACACTTGCAAAGCAGATGTACAGTTTGATCTGATTACTGGGTTTCAATTTGCAATAACACCATGCAAACTCTTCCTGTGTACATAGCACTAAATATTGCAGAAAAAAAAGGCATAAGAATAGATCAAACTTTGGTGCTTTGCGGCTACAAGTAAGACTTTGTTTCACTTGCATTTTTAAGAAGGTTTTCAGTTTGTTTGACACCAGACCTCAAAGCAAGAGACCAGTGTATTAAATTGTTGGGGTCCACATGCTTTTACATTAGAAAATGTTACCAGTCATTTCTTTAAAAATCCAGCAAACTGCTACAAGATACCATGATCAACATTGGCCTGTGTGGAATCTTTCAGGGCTCAGGTAGTATGTAGATAGTCAATGCTTATACATATAAACCCTCAGAATAAAGGGTGCTAGAAATCCTTGAACCAAAAGGACTTTACAGTGACTTAATAATCATTTAAGTGCATTGTTCAAATTAATAACTTGAAGCTTAAAAATTACAAGTCTTCATTCTCTCCTTCTGGGGGAGAAAATATTTTAAGATTTTAGCATATATAAATACTGGGTAAAAAACCCTCTTGTTCTTATTAATCTGCACAGATGTTCTTAGTTCTTGCAATTCTAGTCTTCCAGTTACTAATCCCCTGTACTTACAAAAACTCACAGAAAAGAAGAGCCTGGACCCTTGTGAATTCCATTCTTTCCTCTAAGTCAATCAATTATTCCCATGTCCGGCTTTGACACAATAGGAACTAAAAAAACACATTGTTTATACTGATCAAAATTACCCCCAATTATAACTTTCCTTTACCATACCCATCATTGTGGGTGTTGTGCAGCTCACATCAGAGCATTGCATAATTTCTCATTTGACCTAGAAGCTGGGAGGTTGCAGAGACTCAGTGTATTTGCCTTTTTCTCACTTTCTTCAATAATTTTAATAGTTTCTTGCATGAACATTGCTAGCAGGAGGCCACTGCACACTGGACACTTGACATGACCTAGAACAGACATAGAATCATAGAATAATTTAGCTTGGAAAAGACTTCTAAAATCATTGAGTCCAACTACTAACTTAACATTGCCAAGTCCATCACTAAACCATCCTTCTATTCATCTACTAATCATCTATTAATAAACCCCAAAACTGAATTACATGCAATCCTGCAAAGAGCTGTGAAACAATTAATTTCACATTTAAGAGGAGGGTGGGAGAGAGTTGCAAAATTCTGAATATATGAAAATGTATGTGACCAGAATAAGTCATACAGATGGAGAGAATGCAAAACACA